GGGCAGATGGCTGCCTCAGAATAATGACCAGGTGACATCTGCAGCGTGAACAAGCCATCAGGCTTAGAGACTCACCTTGACCCACCAGGCAATTCAAGTTGCCTCTTCTGAACCCTCTTCTTCTCTACCACCTCCTTCCTTTTCTCAAATATTTCCTCCTGCAATTTTATCAGGTTACACCAACGAATGGAGAACTATAACGGCCCATTGATTTAAGTGTCTTAACTCCCTGAGAAGGAGGTGTGAGAATGTCCTGAAAAAACATTAACAGATTTCATGTGGGTGTTTGAATTGAATTTTCTTCAATACACTCCGGAGCCATTCACTGCCTCCATCAATGCTGAAAGCCTGTGGGTAAATTGGTCTAAGCCATTCTTCCTTCTAAACAAAACTCCACACCACAGGAAGATTTTTGTAACCCAAATACGCCCTGATATCAGGCCTGATTAACAACATCACTGAGGTTCTTTCCTTTTTTCCAGTTTTAAAAACACGGCTCGTGTCTTGTCCAAAGAGTCATACGCACTGACGATGTGATGCTGTGCACAAAGGTCATCTTTTGACAGCAACAAGATCATGAAAAGGTCAGATTCATATTGCACTTTGGAAAAGAGGCAGTGTGATACCAACCTGCCAATATAATTCCTACACGTCTTCTTTGACTGGGTGTTAACACCGTACAGTGTTTGCTAAATAGGTTACTGTGGCTGCAAATGAGCCAGCAAACTAAATGGAAGAGATGAAGTTGGGGCACAACTTTGTGGAATAAAAAAATTACTTTGTAGCTGCAACACCAGAGAACACATGGGCTGTGTTGGCATTCAATTATTGAACAGCAGTATTCCAGTATTTTTGCAAACCAAACACTAAATATCCAAAATACAACAAAAACACAGGGCAGTAAGACAGCAATACAGTAGGTGATTATATACAAGTTCTTACAAAACCAGACAGCAGAGCGACTACAGACAGAGCCCCACAGGAAAGTAAACAACGGGAAGACAAAGAACCAGGTAAGCGCACAGAGCATGAATACAGTGGAGATAAGTGGACGCAGGTGAGCAGCATCAGAGCTGGGCGTTTAATTGGATTGGAAGTTAAACAAGCCAAGAACATTACAGACTCACTGACAGGATCTAGATTTATGTGGGAGCCAACACGGTCTACAGAGGACTGAATGTGATGATGTACACAAAGGTATACATATACACATTCATACATACAGCTACATATATATATAGTAGTATACAGCCAGCCATTATGTAGTCCAGTCACAAACATAAAAACACACCATGAACTCTCATAGTAAGCAGCCAACCCTGAGATGGATCCATCACAAAATCAGCCAATAAATCAATGAAATAAATATCCATCCAGGCACCAAATAACAAGAATAAACACTGAGAAATGATAAGTCGATGTAGCACCATGGACAGCGCCATGCATAACTTTCAACTCGTACAGTAAAGTACATGCCAAGAGCGAAGCAGCCGTGTCAACAACGCACCAAAGCGGGTGCTGACGCACGTGCGCAACCAAACTCCAACGCACGTAAACATACACACACACACACACACACAGAATTTTAACTTACTTTGAACGAGGCTCTTTTTCCCCAGTCCATTCCTGTTCTGTCTCGACAGTACTGAATGCTGTGTTTTCGTCCGTCCAAATCCAGTTGTCAACGAATCTCTTCTGCGTAATCCTTAATTTCTGTTGAGTTTTGCGTTTGTGCAACGCAGTAACACAGAATGTTTGTGACCGTAGAAGGTTACGAAGAACAAAAAAGGCTCACAAGTTGATTCTCCCGTAGACAATGAAGGACATGCGATCAGAATGTTGGCTGAAGTGTTTTTTATATCACGAGTTTATTTTACTCTTGGTCGTCTGTGATGTCACCAATCAACCGTGAATAAGACAGGTGTGCCTTATATATTGATAGTGTCGGTTGAACTGCTCCCGGATCAATCTCTGTTTGCATTTTTGCACGCTTCAGACAAAATACTCTTTTTACAAGCTCACGAATTTCGTTTTGTTATAAATAACTGTGGAGTTCTTACACTCGTCCATTTCATTGAACTTTAAACGCTGAACGCTGGTGACGTCTTCTGACAGGTGACTTATGCGCTGGTCTCGGTAAAGCCCTGATAGGCTGATTGGGCTGTCAATCAAAAGTACACCTAGAAAAAGTTTGCGTTACAATTATCTCTAACTACAATTAATAACAGACCAAAGGCTAAAATCATAATGGATACTTTGTACATGAGATGCAAAACACAATTAAAAATAACAAAATGCAGTTAAAATCTACAGACAAAGACGAAAATAACAAAATGCAGTTAAAATCTACAAACAAAGACGATGTTGTTAATATGAAGAACAACTACAAAGTGCCTGATAAAAGACATAGAAACCAGCTAGTGTTATAGTGTTTTTTTTTAACACGTACTATTTACCAGTCTGTACGTGGTATGTGTGTAAGGAGCTTCACACATTGGCTTTGTGACAGACTTTTCGTTCTCAGATGTTATACTGGAAAAAAAATATCCATACATAGTTTTTTCCCCATGAACACATCATCTGGCTCGGTCCATCTGTTGTCCAAACTGCTGCCAATTAGATTTTTCAACTGCATTCAATCACGATGGAATCAGTGTTTCTTTGCATCAATGGCATTGGACCAGCCTGTCAAATATTAACAATAGCATTCACTGCATTCATCTGTCATACAGAGTATAATAATAATAAAAAACTACATGCAACAAATATGTCTTTTGATATTTGGGTTGGGTTTTCACACTTATCTGAAGACATTATGACCTTATTTTATTTTATAACGGATATACAGACGGGCCATGGATCAAAGAGCCACATGTTAAAGTTTCAATTCTTCATCTAGTCGGCCTATACAGTAGCTCTGTTTCACACCTTGCAGTATCTGGGTCACTCACTTTAAGACTGTGAAGGAACAATAAATGATTCAATCCCAGAGTCTCTTTAGCTCTGTAGCTTTAGCTGCGAGACTCTTCTATCAGATTAAAACGTATAATGCATTCCTCAGTTACTACTACAGTTACACTTACTGTTAAAAAAACACATATTACTCACTATATACTTATAAAATACAAAATATAATGTTCCTGTAGCCTGTAAATACCAGAAGAATAAAGCTGTATTTAGATGTATTCAAAGATTCACGTGTGAAATATAAATATCCTTACAAATTATCCAGAACAGGTGTGTAGGTACTGCATCGATAGCCAAAATATTTATCACTATCACAAGTATCCAGAAGTGATGTGATGGCCTGGACCTGCTCTCTCTGAGATTTTTTTATTCAGGCGATAAACATGAGTCATAAACAAATATAGCTCGACCAGCTATGATCCTTCCAAACAAAATACTCTCACATTATCATTTCTGTAGTGATGTTGAGAGCAACTCTCTGATCCACCATCATGGTTAAATCAATGTCTCTCATTTTGCCGACTTGGGGTTATTGCTTCTTTGCAGGACACATTTAGCTAGCAGCTTTTTGCCTAAAGTCCTTAAGGTTGTAACATTTGGTCATTTAGTTTGATTTGTACTCGTGAACCCTCTAAGCCCAAGATTGGCTTAAGCACACTTCAAATGCATAACATGTGGTGGACCTTATCTTTCTGAAATCTAAACTTAAAAGTGTTTGCCTTAAAAAAAATCATGAACTGCAGCAGAATATAAAGTATGATGTTATAGTCATTGATTCTAAACATGCACCACAGTGAAAGCGATAAATAATTCAGGTGTTTTGTATGGACTCCAAGTCTGTGGCGGAAATGTCAGGCAAAAGGAACACTTCTGGTGAGGGAGAACCTATTTAAATTACAGAAGTACAACTCGTGGTTCTACTTCACACAAATCAATACTGACTGTCATTAGGAAAAGTGACAATATTGATCTGACATCTGACATATTCCGTGGATATTTTTTGCTAACAGCTCTGATAGATAGATTCATCTCAATCGAGACACTTCAAATGCCAAAATTAATTCCTCCACGCTCCCTCTGGATTGATGTTATTTTAGCCGGGCCGATGACAGTCTGATCAATTATGCATTCATCGTGTGGAAGGCATCTTCAAAAATCATCTTCTTTCTGGTAAAGTTAAAAAAAAATTAAAAATCTAAAGAGGTGAGTTTGTGCTGCAGCCTTTTAATAAAATCTGTATATTTTACTCAGAGTATTTACAGTCTATAAGTACGGAGGCTACTGTGCAGTGAAGTACATATGTGTGAGTATGTGGAGTACAGGACTGGTTGTGGAAAGTGGAGGAAGTAGTAGAAGGTTTTCTTGCTTTTACTATCCCGTCAATACCCCTTTCTCTATCTGTTAAAATCTTCACTCTTTCTTCCCTTTGGTACGTCCACACATTCTAGCATCAACAGCTCCCCCAACAGGTGAAAAAATGCGCTACTACAGGAATGCATTGTACTTTACTGTCAGACGAACTTGTTATTATAACTAAAACGCATCACCACATATATTTGTATTTCCAAGGCCTGTGTTTTAAATTTTGTTTCCATATGAATACTTTAAACACTGGGGGAGCATTGTTTACTGTCATTCAGCACCGAGTTGTGCTGAATCAAGGGTAGGGCGCAGAGAGGCAGTGTTGTGGGTATTTTTGTAAAAGGCACCACAGGGATAAAACTGTAATAAAACAAACATATACTTGCAGTAAATAGGATGTGCAGCCGTGTTGTCTAACAATATGGTCCTGGCTTGATTGTCTCATAGATTTTCGGGTCAGAAGTAGACTGTTTAATGGTAGGTGAATGAAGGTATTTAAATAGCATGATGTGATACATGGCACAGCACACAGGTTTGAGGGTTATTTATATATATATGTGTGTGTATGTATATATACAGTATAAGCAGAACGTTCAATTCCTTATATCGCCGTTAGAGGGCAATAATGATATTTTACTTCAGTACGGAGGCGGATGGGCGGAACCACGACGTGGCACGTAAACAGTTCACTTCCTGTATTATGTGCTCTGTGTTGACAACTGCCGAGGATTGACTTAGGCTACGTATACTAAACGACCCGGACTTTTTAGCACCTGTCATTCAGCCCTCAGGCCGGGGCCGCTGTGTGGTAAAGGAAGAGGTGGTCTTACATGAGGAACCGGCTGTGGTGAAGAGCTCCGCGGCCCGACAGGAGACATGACGGCCGGGCTGCTCGTGGTAGTGGTCGGGGGGCTGCTGGAAGTCTGCGCCGGTGTGTCCGCTAACCGAGGGGGCTATCCCTCCTTTACGGACGAGATTCCGTTTAAAATCACCTGGCCAGACGCTGACTTCACACTGGTAGGTCTGCTTCATGAATATTGTTTTAGGGATCATTAGTTGCATTAGTTGCGTTGGCTGTCACCTGTGTAGCCTGCACCATATTCAGAGTCGTTTTGCTCTGCCTGCTGTAGTAACAACTCTGTGGTTTACAGCCAACGTCAGGGCCCCTTTATAATGAGGACGACTTTGTTATCATGATGACAACAGAGAAGGAGAAGTACAAGTGTATGCTGCCTTCACTGACAACCGGAGACGAGGTAAGCAGCTTCGATACGTGACCCCACGTGATGGAGAGATGGGTGTTTCGTCTTGGGCTGGATAGGAAAGTGATAGCTGTGTTTATTTTATGTCCTCTCTCTGTTAGGTTGTTATAAGTTAACATCCTGGAAATCTGAACATAATTATTTAAAGTCAACAGTTCATGTTTATAGCCCTAAATTGTAACCTTTTTTTGCCCTGCTTGTCGAATTGTCTGACTTCCAGCATGGTGCAACTAACACGTTCAAACCTTTCTTCAGTTTAATCCATTATGGTCCAAAAACATTGAAGTGGCCTTATGTTGCTTTGTGTGTGCTGCTCTTTCAGGATGGTGATAAGGAGTACAGAGGTCCGACTCCTGCTGACCTCCTGGGGCCACTGTTCAAACGCAGCAGCTGCTCCTACAGGGTGAGTCTAGAGTATAACTAGGTTTCTGTTCTCCTTTCCACCTGCGTATGATTTACATACATCTTTCATTACTGAGACCAAATGTGTTTCCATAAGAGGTACAGTACTCTGTCAGCAGACCACAAATATGCCTCTTATCATTGCAGATTGAGTTGTACTGGACGTATGAATTATGTCACGGGAAGCATGTACGACAGTATCATGAAGAAAAAGAGACGGGGCAGGTCAGCGGGTTCACTCACATGGTTTACTTTTGCCGACCTGTTTTGAAAACATTAAAAAAGATGTTAAAGGTGACAGACTTTTTGTGTTTTCTCAGAAGATCAGCGTTCAAGAATACTTCCTGGGGAATATGGCACAGAAAAGTGAGCAGACGGAGACGGGTGGGTCTCAGTTTCGGCTCGTGGTTCTCAAACTTTTTCTGCAACACCTCTTTTATGATGGGACTTAGCCCCCAGGTCCACATTTTCACAGCTACTGCATTAAAACACCACTGAACACACTAGAAAAAGCTATTGAGGAAATAACATTACAAATCAACGTGATTTCCCCTCTGTAGAAATTAAATTATTTAAATGGTAATTAATTTAACTTGCTGTTTCTTTGTCCCTTGCAATATTTCTTTGCCCTCCAGGGGGCCCACTGGCTACATAATTTGTAGGCTGTCTTGGTTTTTGTTATTTCAAAACATTTCTTTTTTATTAGATAAAGAAGAAGAGGCACCAAAGACCAAATCAACCACTGAGTCAGAAGTGAGTATAAAAATAATGCTTAAATCTTTAAAAAAAAAACAAAAAAACAATTATATTCTTGTAGCACTCATTTTACTTTTCCTTCCATCCAGGTGCACACTAAGAACATAGAAGGTCAACTCACTCCCTACTATTCAGTGGAAATGGGAAACGGAACTCCGTGTGTGCTTAAACAGAACCAGCCTCGCTCCACGTCTGTCCTGTACGTGTGTCACCCAGAGGCCAAGCATGAGATCTTGTCAGTGGCTGAAGTAACGACCTGTGAATATGAGGTGGTGGTGTTGACGCCACTTCTATGTGCTCACCCGAAGTACAGGTAAGATTCCCAAAAGCTCACGAGAGTACGCCATAGTCAAAGATTAATTCCACAATAAGCGCCATTTTAATATACTCCTTCCTTTACTTCCTGCCAGATTTAAGTCGTCCCCAGTGAACGCCATCTTCTGCCAGGCTCTGGCGGGCTCCCCACTGCGACCGCAGCGTCTTGCCCAGTTGGACAAGGAGCAGGAGGAGCAGCTGAAGCCACCGTTTAGCAGCTCTACCTTTGAGAGCAGAGAGGTGAGACGTTAAAGACAAAGTCGCCGGAGAAACAGTTGCTTTTTCACTTTTAAGTCCTTAAGCGATTTCTGCATCTGTGACAGTATGTGGATTAGACACACATTGTATCCCATATCCCAATTCCACCATCCATTCACTTATCATTGCTGTAATTCAGTCGGTAACGGTAAAGGTATGTGTATTGATGTTGAACTACTATACACTAATGTTTCAGCGCACGTGTTACCTAATTTTATTTAAATGTGTCGAGGGTAACCATGGTAATGCTGAGCAGAACACATCTGTGACTGCGACAGGACACAGTTCCTACTGGTCATTCAAATTAGTTTCAGCTAATTTAATTTGGTTAGCAGTTAGCATGGACGATTCTGCAGTAACCTATTTCAAAATATAGAGAAAACTTAATAGTAGTCTGTAGTGTCTCGCTCTGTCACCGCAGTCATAAAGGAAGCATGGAGGATCCACAGATGATTGGTTGTTCTCAAATTCATTAATATCTTTATAAAACATTTTTAAATTTGTTCTAATGTATTTTTAGTAGTGAGTACTACATCCTTTGACATTTTTTGTAGGAGGAGGCTGCACCTGTGAGAGAGGAGTCTTTCACCTCCACTCACAAACCCATAACAGTTGGAGGTCAGTCTCAGGTCACCGTGGGCACCACCCACATCTCCCGCTTGACTGACGACCAACTGATCAAGGAGTTCCTCAGCGGCTCCTACTGTCTGCACGGGGTAAGGCACTCAGATCTGTAAACTCCTAGTCGAGCTTTATACAACTATGATGAGGTTTGGTTTAATCATAATCTGTGTTTTAGGGAGTAGGCTGGTGGAAATACGAGTTCTGTTACGGCAGGCATGTCTACCAGTACCATGAGGTGAGGGTCCCACCGTACAGTGCTTGTTGGTCGGGCTCTGGGGAGTAATAGATAATATAGAAATTTTTAGAAGTAATAGAACATTTAATCATTGTACCAATGCCGAAAATTATCCGTTTTTTTTTTTTTTTTCAGGACAAAGAGCAAGGAAAGAACATTGTGGTGGTGGGCAGCTGGAACGCTGAGGAGCACATGGAGTGGGCGAAGAAGAACGTTGCCAGATCGTACCAGTTCAAGGACGACGGGGTGCAGAAAGTCAAGTAAGACTAAATGTCTCAACCAAAATCTTTTGTGTAAAGTTACACCCCTAACATTTTCCCACCATCTTATTTTCTTCCATTTTTCAACAGGTTGGTTTCTCACTTTTATGGCCACGGAGACATTTGTGATTTGACAGGGAAGCCCCGACAAGTCATTGTCAAGCTGAAGTAAGTGACTGTTGTTGGAGGGCGGTGTGTGTGTGTGTTTGTGTGTGCGTGTTGTTCTGAGTCACTAAAAGAGTAACACATTACCCAGTGATTCAGTGTTGTTTTGGTCATCCCATGCTTTTTTTTCCCCTTTCTGTCAGATGTAAAGAGTCTGAGTCTCCACACGCTGTCACTGTCTACATGCTGGAGCCTCAGACTTGTCAGTACATCCTTGGGGTAAGTGCTCTCTTTTTTAAATACAGCAATGAGACACAAACAAAACAAGAAAAACCTCTGAGCAACACAAATATTTACGTAAAACCTTCGTCTTACGTGAAAGAGAATCAATACAACCAAACAGTGATGTGTCACAGTCCTTTCGTGTTGATAACCGAGGCAAAACGTAAGGCTCAGTGACAGCATTACTTCAACAAGCAACAATGAATATACATTATATGCAAGAAAACAGCCATATACCAGGGAAAAACGCTTTTGTTATATTTTAGGGCTCAATAAATCATGATTCATTTTAATTGTGATTGATCATGATTATTTTTATCAAAGTTTTTGTTTGATTGAAAGATCATATTATTATATAAATCGGTTAACTTAACCTGACAGACATCTTCCTTCTGTCTTTCAAGGTGGAGTCTCCAGTCATTTGCAGCATACTCGACACTGCTGATGAACATGGACTTCTGTCACTCTCTCGCTAAAATGATCAAGGTCATGTGACTGCAGCAATGCATGAAGGACAGTCAAAGAAAGAAGGAAAGCCTATGGACAATTAACCCAGAAGCCTAACTACTGAAGAGAGAGAGAGAGAGAGAGAGAGATGCCCATGGAACTGCGCTACATGCCAAAATCTCCACCATCCAGAATGAATTTGATCCCAGCAAAGGTTTATGTAGCAACATGCCCTGACCTGTGCACCAGATAATGCTACATTATGACATCGCCATCTCAGACTCCATACAAGGAGATTTATCACCTGTCCTTAAAACAACTATGCCTCTGTTTAGGTTTTTAAAAAAATCAGCTAAGTAAAACATAAATCAGGGGATTTGTGATCATCAGGGGAAGCTAATATTGTTCACTGTCTCTCAAATTGTGTGTGTGTGTGAGTGAGTGTTTGATTGCGTGCGAGTGTGATACAAATGTTTAGAGGTTTGACTGTGTATTATGGTTTTTGTTCAGTTCTACCAAGGCAGGTCTTGATGTTTTTTTTCTTTTGTTCTGCAGTGTAAATATGTGATGTGTTAAATTGTAAGGGCGAGTTACAAAAAAAAAACCTTTCATATCAGTTTGTAGGATGTACAGAATGTAAAATACAAGTGTATGTATATCTATGTGTGTGTGTGTGTAATTCAAAACTGCACTCGGGGAAACCGATCACTGCTGTATTACATGATGGGATGAAAACCAATGCATTGTGAGGAAAAGAATAAAACAAAGAGATTAAACTGACATCGATTTATCTCGATTAATCATGATTAATCACGATAGTCATTAATCTGACTTAAATTTGTAATCGATTAACCGCACTAATTTTAATATATCACAACGAAACAAGAGAAGTGCTGAAAGAACATTTATAGTCACGCTTAATGTATTTTGCCAGCGTTTATTCTGTACCACCAGAGGGTGCTGAAGCCAAATGCAAAAAGCAAAATAAGCATTAGCAGTAATTTCTTTGGAAAACAAAAAGTAAATTTAAATAAGTTTAAAGACGTTAGCCCTAAAGTGCGGACGATAAGCCAAAAATAATTAAATATAGTGGGAATATACAGTCAGCCATGTTTAAATCACAAGGTGACTGGACAAAGAGAGGGATTGAGAAATATTGTATCAGCAATGTGAAAATCAGTGAGAAATATGATGAAACATGGAGTTCTAGATGAGGCTGAATTTGTTATTAAAACAAATCCATACTGATTACAATACAACAATTTTACAATAATATTTTTTTTTTAAAATTGCTTTTGCTGGCTAACTTCATCATTTATTCATTTTAGCCCTTTGGACACCAAAAGCAAAGATCCATTACACTGGCCAAACATTTATTGTTTAAAAAAAATTGTATATGTTCCACTAACACGTTTTTCTCGAGAAGCGAAAATGTCAAAGTGCGGACAAAATGCTGTTAACATCCACGCGTGGGCCTGTGCAGGGTTTGACAGCAGCTGATATCAACACTCTGCAACGTCAGCCAAAGAGTTGGCAGCAGTCAGAGCAGCAACTGTAACCTGCAGTGAAACATTACAGTCTCAGGGTATTATGGCACATGCATGTGCGAGAGGGAAGGCGGGAGAGTGAGTGACGTGTGAAAATTCCATATCTGTAAAATAAATATATTAAATAACGGATAATTCTTTTTTCACAGACAATTATTTACACATTATTTTTGCACGTTTTTGAACCCAAGACCAAGCTTATGACTGGTTCTAGAAATGTTCCATTCACAAAAACAACATAAATAACCTGTGTCCGTTTCCTTCTTTTGATTCATGCTTGACTTCAAGTCAAAGTGAAACTCCTTGCACTGTACAGATCTTTGATCAGACCGAGGGGATGGGAATTTGGTGAACTGAGGTGCTTTCAAAGTCTTGCACAGAGTCCTGGTGAGTGTGGTAGTGCATGGCTACATATGACTTAGCAAAGGCAAATGTCTGGGAGCTAACAGGCTGCAAGCTAGTGGGCGAGCTGGGCCCTGCGGAGGGACTGCTGTTGTATATGCTGTAGTAGGGCTCAATGCGGGTGTTGATAGGGGTGGAGGTGCTTGGAGGGCGAGGTTTGCGCACACCTGTTGCCTTTGGACTACCAACACAATCCCGTGAATGACTTGGCCCACAGGCCTGGTCAACCAACCTCCTCTGTGGTTTGGGTGACAACATGTAGGCCGAGTTGGTTTCATGGTGCGAAGACTTATTGCGATTCACTTCCAGGCTGCCTTTCCCCATTGCATGCAGACGAGTCTTTTGCTTGCAACAGAGAAAACCCAAGGCTGCCCAGTGAACACAGCACAACACGCGACGACGAAGGCCAGCGCTGTTGCGTGAGTACACGAAAGGATTGATGCCGGACTTGAGAAAGATGAGCACAAAGCCGCACAGTTCAAACTGGTAATGTGCAAAGTTACTTTTTGGTGACAAAACATCTTGTGCCAGAGACACCCCCATTGGCAGACAGCAAATCAGCACTGAGAACACAATGACAATACAGGTGACAACTGCCTTTGAGTCTTTAGCTGTGGCTAAGTTGACTGTTGACACCAGCTGGCAGCAGGTGGCGCCCTGGGCGGCACCAGGAACCAAAGGGTGGCCCGTCCTGTTGACGTAGGAGTTTGTCTGGACATTCTGCAGTTTGTTGTACATCTGGTTACGGTACAGTGGTGGGCCTTGGACACCACACTGCATGCTCTCAAAGCCTGCTGCAATGAGGGGGGGTGGGGGCGGAGGACATGTGGCATCCACTGTGATGATGGGACATTTTCTCACTCGTGCATTCTTTCTCAGAGTCTGAGCAATCATCAGATAGGACACAGACACCACAGCTACACAAAAGGCAAAGTCTGACAGGTAAACGTACAACACAACCCTAGCCTGTCCACTGCCCAGACCAAAATGTGGCAGACAGGGTCCGTCTCTATGTGGATACGCTCGCATGGTGAGCAGAGCAGCCATGGTGAAGCTGGACATCCGGTTGTGCAACGGGACACCAAGGGCAAAGCATTGCAGCCCAATGTGCGACGGAAAGAGGCGGTGCGGTTGGGCTGCTGCCCCAGGACCATCCGCAATCTGTGCAAAGCAATGACAGCTACGGTCTCCAGAGACATGATGATGAACCCCGAGCTGGTCAAATGGAAGGCGAAACAGAAACTCTTTGACACACCATCAGCTCCACCGGCATCCAAGAAGAGCACCAGTGCAAACATGGGCGCAGTCACACAACAAATGAACAGGTCACAGAAGGAGAGGTTGAGGATCATGAAGTCAAAGTTTGTGCGGAACTTGCGAAAAGCAGGGTCAAAAAAGGACAGAAACACCACCAGGTTCCCGTATGAGCCCAGGCAAAAGATAAAAATGAGGAGCAGGGAACATAAGGTCAACGTGGCAGGGTGAATCACGGCCCAACTGGTTGAGCTCTGGGTGCCCAGGGTGCCATTGAAGGTCTGATGTCTTGGCACATCCACCAGGTCTGATGGTGTAACAGTGGTGTTCATTGTATTACCAGCAATTTATATGAAATCAACAGTCACCAGTTGGTACATCATTCCTCTGTATGGAGGGAGGACATGATGATCACAGCGTCGGCTGCCTCCGTCATTGCTGCCACCTTGGTGGAGGGCTGTAAGGAAAAAAGGCATTTTATTAGATGCAGTATTTGACCCCAGTTACATTTAGATTGGGTTATCTTCATATTTAATGTTTTTTTTCTCTCAGAAACACGCTTCTTAATGCAGTATGCACCAACTGCCTTTGACCAATTATACCCTGCAGCGCCCCCCTACCCTCCCCAAACGATCTCACCTTGCTCCTACAGAGGCTACTCAAATCCACAGCATAAAATTACAACAGTTGTACATACATTTATACATACTCTAAACCGTCCGTCTATGTAGTGCATTCAAATGTAACGTACCTTCAATACTCAACGGTGTCTCCATCATCCTATTCCAGCGGTGTGGTCACCAGGGGGAGGAAAAAACTGCAGCCGATGATCCACAACTGAGCGATTTAGAGGGACATTAAATTCGTTTCGTTGATTAAAATTTGGCGAAAGATTTTCTTTTAGAGATTACGTCGTTAAAAAGAACCCACACAACGCGTTTCATGGCTGTACATCCATTCTTTTACACCGAGGGGCTGCACTGAGGATGAGTATGAAGTCACTGCCTACGTATGTGAGCATGAGCATTATTACCACTGCATTAAAGTAGCGCCGCTGTAAAGGCTAACGTCGCCTCTGTGCTGCGGGAACAGATTATAATGGAGTTAAAAAATCACGTAAATGATTTCAGAAGATGCGCCAGATAGTTTGGGTTTCAAGAAAAATATATATTTGTTATATTCTTTCAGCTAAAATTGGAGTCTGACGAAAGAGGCTGTGTAATATACAGTATGCAGCGTTTCTCAAGTTGTGGGTCATGAGACATGATCGGTTCACAGAAGTAACAGGGTCATTCTCACCACGCATCTCATACATTCTTTACTGTTAAAATCACAATTCCAAATATTGATGATTGTTGACCATGACTCCTCACTTCCAACACCTTTGCACCAGAAAATATAAAATGGCATGCCTAACCAGCACAAACCACCAATTTGCATAAATTTAAATAAAAAAAAAAAATTTAACAACACCTACCCTGCTGACTCTTGATTTAATTCATCTTCTTTTGGCTTTGTGATTTATAAGTTGCACAGCCTTTTCCCCAAAGGTAAATGTAATCGTTAAATGCACTCAACAACTTCAGAACAATTAATACTAACAAAATAGGTAAAAATGTGTGCAGTTACATATTTTAACTTAAAAATAACCTAGAACATTTTTAAAAGAAACAGTTTATTATCATCAATCAATAAGCAAACAGTACATCTAAAAACGCAAACACTAGTTTTTGGCACTACACTATACATATGTGAGGTACTAAATGCTTCAATGCATTGGTTTCAAGCCATCAGCACTCAAAAAAAACAAAACAAAAAAACCAATCAAATTCATAAATAAATATGTTTGTGTATTTGCCAATATATGACATGTGCAATCATGGGGTACATGAGCATGTAGAGAACAAACAGCCACACAAACACTGTGTTCAGGTCACATCACCTGAAGACATTATTTCAAGTTGTCACTTTGCTGTGGCTCAGATCAAACACTTCAAAGATAGTAATAAACATGTCCTACACTGGACAAGCTGTTGGCTCAGAGCTGATCCTTGGGATGTAATCCTGAGAAATATGTAGGACAACACGTCTTCACGCATCCCTTGAATGTGCACCACACAGATCTTCACACATGCACACAATTCAAACCACAGAAGTAAAAAGAAAACTGTACATGTACTGTACAGTTATGTTACAAACAGCAGGTCAGTTACTCCTGCTAGCATTGAACCTTAAATATTAAGTATAGTGGAAATGTCAATGGATAAATACATAAATACACAATTTCTCAATCAATCAACCGATGTGCCGTTGTAATGGTGTGTGATAATGTCTTTTATGTCAGTCAAACCCAGAGCCCTCTCACCAAATTGGGCCTCCATATGTTTACTGTAGCAGAGTCCAAACAGTGCTGTTAAAAAAAGAAAAAGAGAAATAAGTGGACTTAAGGAGTTGTCTTCTGTCTTTGGAAGGACCTCTTCAGCAGCTTCATTTTCAGCGATCAATCCTACGAGTGCTTAAAGTCCAGTGTGTTCTTGTGAACACGTTAAGTTTGCACCAAACATTCACATTAGATGAAAAGATGAAAGTTTTAAGCTGATAAACTTTACCAGATTTTAAGCATAGTAACATGGGGAGACCAGCAGGTCAGTCAGAACCAGCAGCTGGTCATCTGTAAACTGCTGCTTGTGTTGCTGCCAGTTATCATGGTGCGTTCGCTTGAAGTTTGACAGAGTTTTCTTCACAGTCATCTGAAAGACAACAAACAGGAAGTTACGACGATAACATGACTTAAACTTAACTATGCAAATTAGAGCTGGCTAAGGAGAACTTTAGCACTAGTCTAGTTGTACTGCCCTAGGCCTAAACTACTGCAGTTATTCTGTTGGTGCAGTTAACAGATCTTAGAACAGTCTTGTCCTTTCCCTCTTCTAATCTATGCATAATTCTCTATCTTCTTACCCTGCAGCTCTCTATAGGACTAAGTTGTACACATTAACAATAATTATAATATTGTTTTTATACCATTATATATAAATAAAATCAAAATGAAAACAATTAAATATTTATTAGCTCAAAGATAAAATTAATTTATTCAGTCGATCAACTTTTGTGAAGAACAGTATTTATAAAGAACCAACAACGTTGCTTACATAGAGTTCCAAGGAACATCAGAAGAGGCAGCGGTGCTTTCCTATTTTTCTGGCCTCTGCAGCCACGTGGTGAGTTTGAAGTTTAACCATTTTTTGGGGCTTTAACACTTTCTGTCATTCAAACTCCATCTTGATTTTCCTGACACTTGTCAACTTGACTGTTTGTCAATGGTGCCTCAAGATGATTCAGTCAGCCATGTGTCTGTGTAGTTACCTCCCATTTCAGTATGATTTACATCATATGATTCATATTATTCATAGTTTAGAAATGTAAAATAAATGCATGTAATTTATTATTTGTGGTTATGGCATTTTTTGCTTTCGTGTGCACAGACTGTGAAGCTCACTATCACCAAACTAATTGAATCTTTATTGGTAAAATTGCCTTGATTTAAATTAAATGTCAAACTATAACACATACTTCAATTGGCTGGGTGTCATTGAGGTGAGCGCTGAGGTCCATTAACAGCTGCGGCATCCAGGTGGGAACATCATATGGACTGGAGAGAATACAAGCACTCAATCCAAGAACCCCAGCGTGACGTCGAACCAAGTCTGAAAAAACAAACAGGATTCCATTCCATTGGATTGTGTGGGACAGTTTCATATTTCTACCAATGGTTAAGGTGCAACATTGAGGCCATTTCTTTACCAGCAGAAGGTACAGTGTCCTTGACAGTGGCAAACTCCCTTTTCCTTTTCTTAGGCAAAGAAGTCTTACAGAGGGCTTCAAAATGTGCCTGCATGGGGGCGTCCATTGAGAGGAAATTGCACTGAAGGAAACCGCTGAGTGTCGTTGCAGCCATTTCTCTCACCTTTAAGACATTGGCAAAAAAGATTAAATGGGACTGAACAACAAAGAGAAGGGTGTCACACACATATGGCACAGTCAATTATGCTGATGAAAGCTGAGTATGTGGCATACTTTTGTTGTATGTTTTCTTCTATTGATACATTAATCCTATGGCAATAATTACGCTGTAGCTTTGCTCTGAGACAGATGCAGTGTGATTACACAATCAAGGTGTTTTTTGTGTCTTAGTTGAAAAATTGTATCCAATTTAAGGTCAAAAACTGATATCTTCAACTAGAGCTAAAAAAGCTGCTGCACATTGAATTGCATTGTTTGCTCCAATTGTTTGATCCAATACCACAGAGCCAATGAAAATGAGGATGAGGAGATGAATACGACATTACCAAAATGTTGCTGTCGGGATGATGTTCATTGAGCGTGCCAAACATAAATGGCTTCTTCCCTCCATCCCCCACTCCTGCTTTGTCTCCACTCCATCCCCTCTCCTTCTCATCCTCTTTCAATCTGAACATTATCTCCATAGCAACAGATTACTGCAGCCTGTGGTAACCATAGCAACAGCTAGAGAGACCAGAGGGATGGTGTGTGTGTGTCTGTTGTTGTTTTTATTCTTTGCAGGGGTATAGAGCCAGGAGGAGACTGCTGAATCATTACAGTGAAGCTTAAAGGCAGTGACGACGTCTTTCAGCACATATGGCCAAATACTGTAGGTTGTCGATTATTATATAATCAGGCTATAATTTGTTGGTTATTTTTCCAGCTGTCGTTAGATGGCGTCTGTAGCAGACAGGGCACCATGTTTGACTTCTGATGTAACACCTTTATTGATTACTGTACTACAGTTGACCTGCTGCTGTTAAAGAATGCTTGCTTCTACCTCCAGCTGCTCATCCTCCAGCAGTCTTATGACCAGTGATCGCACATCGCCCACGGCCTTCTGGTCACTCATGAAGGTGAACAGGTTGTAAAATACCATGATCTGGAGGTATGTCAGCACTGTGTAGCGAGCATGCCAGGAGCTGCTGCCAGCAATCTGCAATACACAAAAACAACAGAACCATCCCACAGCAAGATCAGACCATGAGATCTTTTTTTTAAATGGACACTTTTCTTTTAAGAAAGAAAATGTAGAAAATCCCAAAATAAGACTTCAGTATTTTGGTTAAAAATCATAGCTGAATTTCTTTTTTCCCCTGTGTAATAAAATTAATGTGAATATAAAAAGGATAACATTAAGGATGACAGCTGCAATAAAGCACAAAAGAAGAATAAAATCCAAAGTCACGTGATGGCAGTGAGAAAAAGTGAGATGACTCACCTCTTGCAGAGCACTGAGGACCATAGGGATCTGCTCTGTGTAGAGAAGTCCCTGAGACATCAGAGAGAGGCAGGTCTTTGCGTCCCTCTTCATCTCATCATAGCTGTCATCATTTTCGACAGGAGCAATCTACGACAGAGATAGAACACGAAATAATGTTTAGGATGATGTTGTTTTAAGTTCCTGGATGATGAATGTAAATGAAAAAACACTGTGTAAAAACAACAGCGGTCGAATTAGTCAGTTTCACCTTGAAAAGCAGGGGAAGCAAACGTAACTGTTCGGGCACAGCGGTTGTAAAAGAGCGTCCAGCGCTTGATATCAACCACTTAAGCACTGCAGAAGTATGAGAACACAGTTATTGAAATTTAATTATAAACAACTTGACTGGTAGGTGCCTGACAGAAATTACACAACCAACCCACCTGTTTTAAGAAGCTTGATTGCTTGTGTTCTTTCATCCTGAACCCCCACTTCATTCTCCTCCATCACATGGTTCTGGATCTCCTCATCGCCCTCAGTTAGGGGCTTTAGCTGCAACAAAATCCTCTCAGTGAAGTCTGAGATACGAGGTGAGGTGGTTGGCTGAGTGTGTGGCAAGTTTACATCGATCATGAAGATGTATGTGAGCACGCTGTGAGGAAAAGGAAAGGATCACTTAAAAATAAAATAAAAAAAACAAAAAACAACGACAAAAAAAAAACAAAAAAAAACACAAAGCAATTTTAAGAATAAAATCCATTACCTCCCAATTCTCTCCCGTACATTCTTGTAAACCTGTGTGAGTTTGGGCTCCAAGTACTGTAGCAACCTATGCAGGAGCTCTGGTACACGCCACTCCTGCTGAGCCAGGCCCCCTTGTAGAACATACAGACGACTGGAAAATAAAAAAGACAAAGTAATATTAGAAAGGTTTTCTAAACACTGTTACCACCTGCCCAGGTAAGCTAAATTTTACGGACCATGCATCGACAAAGGAGCCATCCTCGCCGTTAACCGGAGACTCCATTAGCATTTCAAAAAGCCAGTAAAGCTTGCGAGGATCTCTGCTCTCCTGTAAAGGGTCAAATGGAAGAAATGGTGATGAGGACATGCTAAGAACATGCAGCATAAAATCATGACAATGGATGCAGAAAGGCTTACACAAGCTGTAGCGATACATGTTCCCCAGTCCTTGTACGTTTCTATTGTGATGTTCGACAGAGCAGTACGTAGCAGAGGACACAACATCTCCCACAGGCTGTCCACCTGGGAAAAAAGGCAACATTTAAATGTAATGTATTGCTTCTCAAGAGTATGTGAGCAAAGTTCAGAGCATGTTTTCCAATGAAATGAAATGAAAAAAAAAGAAAAGTGGCTGTAGGGGAAAATCTCTTGGATTGGTTCTGTTATACAGTGAGAAATTGAAATGCCTCTACTGCTGCAAAAAAAGTGAGGAAGTATAATTATGATTTGGATTTTCATGGACTGGTGTTGTAATAGAACAGTAAAATTAAAATATTGGTTATTTTTGCAGGTTTACAGTACTTAAAGAAAACTACTTTGACTCATTTGCTGCTCAATGTCAGGCCTAAAAACCCATGGTTTTAGATACAAAAACAATAGAATCCAGTGAATTGAATTGAGCACGATTTTATGAGCAAAAACACCAAATTCTAAAAACTACAACCAGCTATAATGCTGAGCAGGGGATGATTTAATTGGTGCAGGGGGCAACCTGAAAAGGAAGCTGAGCAGATCAAACTTATTTGACTTTGAGCCAGGGAGTGGCACTGGACAGTTCTGTGCATGTGGAGCAGCAATTTTTAGGACTCATACTTGTATGCTCTGGTGTATACCAAGATGTTTCAAATACTAACTTTTGTGTAGTTCCAGTGTTTGCAGCCTCTGATCAGACCAGAGATGATCTCTGCCACACAACGCTGCTTGCTTTCATGGGAGTCTGCCACAAGACGCTTCAGGTGTGGCTGTAGTACGGGCAGAAAGGCATCACCAAAATTGCGGAACAGACCCTGTAAAAGGAAGAGAAAAGAATGAGTCTCATGTAAGGTGGTTTGAATCCTTAACTATAGTTTTCTAAATAATTCAGAAAGTCTTACCTTAAACAAACAGAACCTGCGAGGGCTAAATTTGTCTTTGCCCTTACGATCTTCAAGTGACAGAAACTCAATGAACTGATTGATGAATACTGGGTCTGAGAAATGGTTGTAGATTATCTGCTCCCGCTGTAAGAGAATGGATTAATGCATAATAAAGACAAGATTGATTCATGTGGTTTGCGTTCAGTTATTTTAAATAATATCTAAACACAAACCTCTGTCATTTCGTCTTTGGACAAGTTTTGTTTTGGTTGCTCTTCTTGTGGTGCATAAATCATCAATTTTCTTAAAAAAAGAAAAAAAGTTAGAATAAAAAAATACAGTAAAACAAACTTGATGATGATGATTTAAAAAATGTGAACCTTGGCCAGCAGTAGTATCCCCAGTGAGTCTTTTCCACAAACACACACTTATCCCAGTCCTGTTGCATGCGTGGCAAGCTGCCGCTGTTGTACTGGAGCCACCTGTTGTCTGAACGGTCCCCTGCAATGATTCCATTCAATTCTTTCACTTCACCTAAAAAAGTAGAGATAATATTAAAGATGAGATTGTGGAACTATAATAAGGATTCATAGTAGAAAGGCAGAAATGTTGTGTAAGCAGGAAGAAATGATGCTTACAAAGCTCTGAAGGGCGGACAGGAACTTTCTTGTGTAGTCTCTTGATTTGTTTTAAGATGCCTGCTACAGCCGATATTGCCACCTAATGGAGAAAGTAAGAATTGTCAGGTTAATGTTGTCCAGACAAGTCAGTTTCCTGAGTTGTTTCCTCTAGGACTATTTTAAGCACCAGTGGCAGGTCAGCCATCCTGCTATGGGACATGAATTAATTATGACAAATTTGTATTTAGCAGGATACACACAGTGAGTGTGGCACAAGTTATTATTACATGTTTGACCAGATGTGAACAAACGCATACAATAATGTGGGTAAATCTGTAACTCACTTCACTGCTGAAGTGAGTTGTACTACAGCTGTTAAACCTTACCCAGTACATATATAAATGGCATTGCATGACAACATGACTGTCCATCATCCTTCTAAAAACGTATTCTGTCACAGTTTTTACATTTAGTTTGCCACAGATTTTTTTTCCCCCCAATTCTGAAGCAGTGGTTGCAATACAATATGCTTTATGTACATGATGGAAATTGGGACAGATAAATTGTACACATCCCACCTTGCGGACATAAAGGGTATCATGGTTGAGGCTCTTGACAAAGAAAATAACAGCAGCAGGTGGGAGCTGTTGGTCATCTCTTAGCAGCAGTGACAGAAAACCAATGGCAATGTGTTCAAACTTCCAGGGCCTGGAAACAGAAAGAAGGTATGTGTATCTTGTTGCTAGCACATGAAAAGATGATTAAATGAGAGAAATAAATAACAAACTTACATGTTCCTGTTGTTGATACACTTCAAAAGATCACCAATGAGGCCTTCATACTTTCTGAAAATGTAAAAGGTTAACATTGACTTTTGGTAAACAATGACTCAAAATTAAATTGGACTAAATATATTCAAGACACTCAGTCCTTTATTTCTGGTCAAGTGATATTTTTGAGAAGAGACTAAACAACTTTAGCCCATTACAGCAGGCTACAGGACAGGATGCATTCAAGAAATAATGAATGATTGTCTTGTTGTTGGTGGAACTCACTCAACAGCCTCTGAGTTCTTTAACTCCTGCCTCTTTAGACCCTCTGCTATTTCATCGTCTGAAGGAAGAGGATCTTTTGGAATTGGATTCCCCGTAACCCAAAGCTTTTTAGCCAAGTTGCAGCACTCATCTGGTATCTAAAAAGACATTAAGGCAAAACATATCGTGTCAGAGGTCAACGCAACGTTACTATTTAAAGTAGATTCTATGTAACACAGCACAACAATATTTAATTTTGGTTGTGTTATTTTGTATGTAGGCATCATAGTGAAATTAGTCTTGTAATCTATTTGTGTAGCTTTACTGTTGTCCTCACAGATAATTCTAAGCCGATGGTTTCATACTGCCGATGAATTTTGCTGGCAAGGTCATCGAACAGCCGCACAATGGAAGGTTTTTCCAACGACATGGCTGAGCTGAGGCCGGAGCGCACAACGGCAGGCCATGTTAGAGTAATGCAGTCCCAATCGTGCAGGTTGGCAAGACACACCCCATTGTGATTCCCCAGCAGACAATACAAGGCACCCTGGAAATGTAAAAATATAAACATGAGGAAAATACAAATATATAAAGAAGACGTAAAATAAATATTTGAATACAGGTAGGAAAATGCCATACTTTAAACTGCTGCTGTGTCACATTGCTGTTGTTGGGGTTGAGAAACTCTAGCACATGAGGGATTAGGTCTCTGCAGCAGTAGTTGTAGGTGCCCAGGGCAGTAAACAACACACTTTGAGCTTTGCTGCGAACCTATAAAGAAAAAATAAGCTCAGATTTCAAGCAAATCAAATTGTATTATACAGACACATATAAACACAACCAAATGTGTCTTCTGTTTAACTCATCAACCTATTCCTTGGGAGCACCCAAGAAAATGAAGAAGGTTTCATGGATGTCATTTCTCTGTATTGTTTCAATTTATGTACATGTAATGCTAAATCAACACATAACATAATAGCAAATGCTTTTACTAAATATCTGTATTTTTCCTATTTTCTCAAGATACGAGTAAAAATAAATCATAACAAACTCCCTTATAACTTACTTGACTGTAGGTGCTGGTAGAAAGCCGTAACAGATCTTTCAACAGCTCCTGATGAATGCTCCTGTACTGACAGCCTTCCACTGTCAGCTTACGTACCTAATCAAACATAAACCTTTAGTAAAAATAACAAAACAGAACAGTTACCAGAGAGATCTTTGCAGAATCTACTGTACCTCATGTTGGAGCATTACTCTGTCTATCAGCAGAGCTCTGATGTGCTGCTTTCTGCCGTGAAGCTGCAAGACAACGTTTGAAAGTAGGATGTAACGTAAGCATGTGTTGTATGTAAACTAAGCCTCAGAAAGACTGGAAAGTGTTTGTGCAGAATTTCAAATTAATAGACACAGAAGTTTAGATTTAGTTTTAGATTTCTCACTCTGTTTTCCATTGACTTTTTCACAAGGTTGAAGCTCTTCCAGCGAGAATCAATCTCATGTTTGTGAACACCTTTGAAGTGCAACAGGTCGCTGATGATCTGGAAAAACAAAAGGTATTGAGATAGTAAAGGGAAATGGACTTGAAAAGTAGTTGAGAATTAATTTTAAATATTGACATACTGGCTGTTATGTTAATGTCTGCTTACCTTGATGATGGAGAAAAGAGACTTGGTGTCATCCTCAGAGTGCTCCAGGATATGATCTAAGAGAACATGTGTAAGGTCAAAGAGTGGGTCACATTGCGTTTTGAACCTCACAATTAAACATATCATGAGAGTGTACTTCAGTATAGAGACTCACGCAGCAGCTGTCTCATCACATTACAGACAGCGTCTCTGTAGTTCTCTCTGGACGTATCTGCAGATAGAGAACATTTCACTTCAATTTCCTTCAGTTGTTTTCCAAATTAAAAACATTCATGACGTCAAAGCTACGGGTAAAGTTAGTTACAAACCATATTCTACTCCTGTGAAGAGGATGGTTTCATCTAGATTAATTACACTGTGGACCCTGGAAGAGAAAGCACATTTAAAGTCAAGCTAAAAGGTTTTGTTACAAACAAAGCTTGTGAAAAACACATACAGATGCGGATTAACGTCACCTGAATTAAATGTAAAATGTATTTAACTGTTTCCTGTCTGCAAAGACTTGAAGCATAACATAAGCTATAGACAGTTCTGGTACTGCTTTTAAATGTCCTGCCAGTACGCAGATCATCACCATTCTACTCACAGTTCAGGAACAGGCTCTCCCTTCAGTGGAGGCATCAGACTCCCAGCACCAAGAAGACAGTGCTGAATGATGGCCAGGCTTTGTAGCACATCATCTCTGCAGAGACATTAATGCATGTTCACAGCTTAAAGACAGCTAATTACACCTGCGTACAGTTTAACCAGGTTTAAACTTCTTTGTACATTACTAGAAGTCAGTTATCAGAACTTGATTATTCTTACCTGGCCATGTCCTGTTCTCCCTGTGCAAATCTCTGAAGGGTCTGAAGCTCTGGCTGGAGAATTAGGTCCAGTAAATAAAAAGCAAAAGATTTTTCTTCCACACTAGGAACATGCCACCGGATGTCCAAATTCCACAAGTCCCCAGGTCGTCCCCAGTCCTGTATGAAATAAGACAAATGAAAAAACCTTACCCTAAAATGCAAGTATAGGTGTTGATTCTTGTGGCTGACACTGATGCTGTTATATTTCTAATTATGAAGTCATTTGTAAAGAGTCCTAACACAACAATAAAATTCAGTTTTCAGGATATTTAATTCTCCTTGTGGCCATCCGTGCTGTTAAACCACAGGGTATAATATATAAAGACATATAGAGTTTATCTGCCAAGTATTTTTTTCCATGTCTCTGCCAAGAAATATGTGAAGACGTGGGGTCAAAGTCAAGGATGTCTTCATTGACTGTGCATCGAAAGAACAAGCATCAAGCAATCAAGCATCACACCTCCTACACATTACACCTACAGGAGCTTTTCCACAAAGCTGCCAACATTTATCTAATGCAGCTATTACAGTTTGTGGTAAGGTTTAACTAACAACAGGCTTTTGGTCTAGAAGTTAATTTTGAGGCTCAGGACGATAATCCTACCTTAATGGGAAGGTAGTCACTGACTGGTTGGTGGAAACCTCCTGGCACACTGCAGTACTCTGTCGGGTAGATGAGGGCAGTAGAGCGTAGGATGTGATGAAGCAGGTTGCACGCCAGTGTGTAGCCCTGCTTACACTTGAGGTGGAGAGTTAGCTGTAAGATCTGGACCAGCTGAGTGCGGTAGGGCAGGAGCTTTTCACCATCCACCCTGGTCACCTATAGTCCACACAGCAAAATAGTAAATAACTAAATTGCTTGTCATAACAATTTGTTGAATTATGTCAATTTGTCATCTACGTCACCTCTGACAGCAGCTGTAGGTTCCACAATAGTTCCTTGTCAAGTTCCTCCTCATTTAACACTTCATCATCTGTAACAAAATAGACATCAGGAAAATGAAAGAAACACCTCTTGCATAAAAAACAAAACAAAAAAAACCCCAAAATATTATGTGCTGTAAGCACTTACTAGCAGCAATTTGGCTAATGGCATTGCAGCAGTGTGGCACAAACATTTTGAGAGACTCAGCAGGGTGACACTGTGGACAGAGACACAGGAAAATGAATGAACAAATAATCTACCGAACATTTATGCATTTGTAGTGGACAAGACTGACCTTTGAACATGCTCTACACATGTCGGCCGTCATTCTGCCTGCTACACGGGTCTCAAAGATGTTGGTTGTTGCGAAGTTGAAGACTTTTAATAAAGCCACCTGTTGAAATGACAAGGTCATTCTTGCATGTGGGGACAGTGGCAACCACTAATGAGACAAAGACAACAATAAAACTGTTACCTTAAAAATGTCTAAAGAACACTGTGCCAGGACAGTGCTAAACGTGGAGGACAGGCCAAGTTCTACCAGACTCTCTAAGTGAGTCATTTTTTCTGTTTCCGCTTCCTCTCGAGTTTGTTCCAAAGTGCTGGTGTCTATCAGGGCAAAACATCTGTGCAGATAAAAGAAAACATGCTTCAAATATGCTAATATTTTATGTAATTTATTGATAACAGATAAAAGACTAGAGGATACTAGAGGGACCTATTTATTCTTTGCTGCAAACTCGTATACTTTAAAACAGGGCAACAACCATGTTAGCATAGATTTTAACAGTAAAACAGCGTAGGATGCGGGTGTGTTGCAGAAGCTGACTGCGGAAGAGTGTGATACAATTAAAGCTAGGATTTCTATTAGAACTTGACCTACCTGTCCATGAACTGAAGCACAAAGTCTTCAAACTCTGCTGAGGCTGAGCACAACTCTCTTTCCACCTGTAGATCATGGGAATTGTATATTAATGAAAAACTAAAGAACTAGTAAAATGACAAAAGCCACTTCAGAAAGAGTGGCTATATACATCAGCTCTTTACCTCAGACAAATCAGTTCTCTCATGTAGGGCAGATGAACAGTCCACTAAAGGCACAAGCGCCACAAATGTAGCAATAAATTGAAATGTGATCTGTTGGAGACAGATGTGCGTTTTCTTTAACTGGATGGACAAAGTCATATCACAACAAAACAGTGAGATGATGAAGGTGGAACAACGCACCATGCACTTGCTAAAATCATTTGGGTCGACGCCTGGCAGAGCTCTCATGAGCAGGGGTAGCATGTGAGTCGGCCCCTCTGGGAAGTACTTCCCACCTGACACTAGGCTTCGTGCTACACCAATCATGCAACTCAGAGTAGCTGTGAGCTGGTGGGGCTCTGTTAGAGTCTCCATGGCAGGATAGGTCCTATCAAGAGAGAAAGAAAACATTGAATCCCTTGTGGTTACGTCAAAATTAGATAACAATTACAATGCTACTAAATTATGTTTAGCTGAGAACATGTGGTAAAGGCTGAATTTACTTCTCTAGCACAGGAGGAATGACCAACTCAGGCCTCAACAGAGCCAAGTTTTGCAGGGCTTGCGCTGCATGGAGGCTTCCCATTTTGCTGAACATAGCCAGCAGCACTGGCTGCATCATGCTCTGTACAAAGTTGGTGATATCTTCCTCCGTGAGCTTGTGGCTGTTTGGTATGGGTGTTAACCAGCTTGGCTTTTTGTAACGTTCTCTGTGCAGTCGCCGTACCATGCTGGCGGGGAGCCGTTGGAGAAGGGTCATTAATTTCACCTAGACATTGGGACAGATAAGTATAGTATGATTAAAGATTTGCTTGCTTGTCTATTTATTGAATAACCGTCAATTTTTGGGACAATAACTTTAGTACAACATTTAGTACAACTCTATGTAATGGAAAAACAGAGTAGACTTTAGATAACCACAATATGCTATGAATATATTATTTTTTATCTCTTACTTTATTGCAAAACATCTGACAGCTAAGAATACACACAAACCCAAGCACCTTCCAAAAATGAAGTATGTGCGTGACGGCAGTTTGTTGCCTGTTGTGCTACAGCACCTAGTGTAGAACGCTCCCTAAAACAGAATGGCATGTGAGCCTCTCTCCCAGTGACCTTTGATAGCATTGCTCACATGCTGCTTCTAAACAAGATAGGATTCAGGAAGCTTCCAGGAAAATTGGCTGACAACACGTTCTGTCTTCTGTAAGTGTTGCTTCCATCACCTGGTTTTCAAATAAACCAACAGTGTAGATAACAACAACAAATATTTCCAAAACAAGGCATGTGACTTACGTGGTCACTGACCTATTATCTATCCTAATAGCAAAAGCCAAGTTGTTGCTGAAAACCCATTCCATATATAATCTCGATCCCAATATTGTTTCCTTTTAACATTCTAATGTACTTAATCAATGTTTTCTTCCTACTAACAAACCAGAGATTGATTAAAGTTTACTGCCAAATCATAATAAATCCAATTACTTGTGGATAAAAAAGCAACTCACCAACCAGCGGCCAAGGTTTGATGGATGAAAGAAGGATGTAATACTGTTGAAAAGGCCACTGAGTTGAGCTTGAGTTTGTTTGCTTGGTCCACCCTGTAATTCAGACAGCATTCACTTTTAAACAAAGATGTTTTCCAATAATATTAGCTCTAATCAGGTGTAATTTATGACAAACTAACCAGGAGGGACGAGACCCAAAGCACCACATGACCAATGTCATAGGCATTGATGACATTATGTGGGACCACCGTCTGACCGGTCCCCACAGGGATATACAAGCTTCTCAAGATCCTTGTGAAAATCTGAAACAACCAGAAGATATTTTGCAACATGTGACAATTTTATTTTTTCACAACACCACCCAAAAAAAACACAACTCTCTGTGAGACATAATTATTTATATTTATGTGTAAACAACAATGTGAACCCTAAAGCACAAACATGATATCACTTTCCTAATCGTGACTAGGCTTGAGATCAACAAGGAAACGTGATAGGTTGTTTCCCTGTCTACTGCCATTCATGAGAGCATGTGCTACTGATTTCAAAACAAAGTGGGTGAAGACAGATTTTGTAGGAGGCCAACAAACCTTGGAAATATAAGGATCCCAATCGATGTAGCCAATGTTATCATTAGCTAAACGAGCAAAGAGCCCCACCAGATGCTACAGAGATACAGAACAAAACATTATGAAGTGAAAATAAAAATGCTTGCAAGATTCTTTTAAATGCACAATTTTCTTACCACTTCCCAGCTTGGAAGATTTTGCACGGACACCCACAAGCTGATCATTTCATCAAACCACAACCTGACAACATATTTCATGGTTAACATAGATAGTACAAGATGCCTCTAACATGGAGTCGGTTTATTTATTTTCAGATGTAGCAGTTAATAAGCATTTTTATTACTTGAAACCCTTGTGATGAAGCTCGGGTGGCAGAGTTGTTGGGAGGAAGAGCTCAAAGTAGCTGATTGCCCTCTGCATAGTGACATCAAAAGGACAAAGAAGTGGTCTCCACTCATCTAGCATCTCCTGAGTAGCGGACTCTGAGAAGTATCTACAGCAATAAAAGATGGATATGCATCAGATAATCAGACAAGACTTTGAGTGAAAGCCAATACCTTTGTGGTGTGTTTTTTTATTTGTAGCTTGTTTATCATCTCTATAAGTAAAGAAAACATCGAAGTGTCTGTTTAAATACGATCATGAACCTTAATTGTTTAACATACATGAGATGCAGCCAGTACATTTTAATACTTAAAGGTCAGTGTTTCACAAACGAGAGCATAGAAATTATATACAGAATAATTTTAGCTGTGAGGGTAAATGCTGTCGTCCTCTGGGCTTGTGGTCCCACAGGGGGATTTCTGCGGTCCATTATGTGCTTGTGTAAACTCTGTAGGTTATTTCAGGCCACCTGACCTCCTCAGCAATTGCACATCCACTGGAAGCCAAAGACAGGCTTCAATGCTGATCCAGAGTGTCTCAGCAACTGACCACAAATCACCCCCCACTCCTGCTGTGGCAGGAAACTCTCACTCAGTACAGAATTAGATGAGATAATAGGATTATCTGCCTAGGTGCAAAGAGAGGGACGAGTCTAACTACGCATAAGATATCTGCAGACCCATCCCAGTGAACACGACCAAGTGTAGGCAAAGTTTAGGAATAATGAAGTGCAGACGTTTTGGCATGTTAGCTGCCAACAATTATATATATTAAACAAAAATCTTAGTAAAAAAAGAAATGAGATGGGAACAATATTCATGGACTGTACTTACGGCCTGCAGCTCTTCACCAGTGATTTCAACACATTTTCCACTGAGCTGTAATTAAAAAGAAAAGTAAAAAATAAGAAGAAGTGACACATTGATGTTGGAGCAGCAGTTCAAGCCTCTCACCAATGGATCATGTCATGCACACAAGAAGACTACACACAACAGACTTTTTAACAGTTACAAGGAGAGCCCTGAAGGCTGACGGACAATGAGCAAATTTAGATGACGTGGTAGACAAAAGAAACTCTTAATTGAAGTTGACCCATCTAGGCAATATAATATTATTAGAAACAAAATCATAGTAAAATAACAACAACAAAAAAACATGTGTCCCCAAGTTCAATTATATTTGAAAGGTGTTTTTGACTCCTGTCAAGATCATGTCCACAAACAGACTGCAGGAGCAGGGCTGCGGTCACTTAAAGCCTGGGACTAATATAACCACAGCTTTTGAGCTCCTGGCCCACAATCCCACCTTTCAGCTCACATGCAAGTCCAAGCCATGCTTTGTTGGACATGCTTTGCCAGTTCTTTTAACAAATGGCTTATGATCCAAAGTCTATGAACAGCTGACACACAACACATTATTAACCTTACAATAGCCATACCTGTGACAACTGCCTAAAAGCCAAACTGCATGTTTGTTTTGACCATAGACCCTTCATAAGAAATGGACGTAGGCATCAGTTCTTAAAAGTCAAGTCCCAGAGGTAGACAAGGACTGCCATTAAATTGATGTCTATGGATTTATTGTGCTTTTTATTTAGATTAAAGATATAATTTACCAGTTCACCATAAAGTCAGTGCAAACAGAAAGCTAAATCCATTTCTTAAATACAGTTTATGGTTAAACCCAATGTTTTACACTGAGAGTTGCGGCACAGGAAAATGAAACCTCATGCATTGCATATGTCAGCAACGACATGGACTACCCAGACAACTGTATGTGTCCTATTACATATGTCTTTGGCACCCAGGGAAAATGACCCCCTCCCTGAGTACTCTGTTTGACCTATGTATCAGAGTTGAACTGAGCCCTCATGTTCAATCAACACATTCCAGAAGAAGAAGAAACGTGACAAGAGTCTCCTTTCCTCCGTGGCTCAAATAAGTGCTGCGCAATAGTGCAAGGATGTTTATTTTAAATACTGCCAATGGGAGGGATGTGTAACAACAAATATTTCCAAGTATGGGCAACAAAGGCAACAAGTTATGGGATTGTTAATGTAAATAAAACTATTCTGGTATCTCTTTGGAGCAACGACTGAATCATAACCTGTACCATATAACAGCCAAGAAAACTAGTGGCTAAAATATTGAGAGATATATAATACAATAACATTTTTTTTAAATACACAGTGTATTATATTTTCTTTATTTGATATAGGGATGAATAAAAACCAAGTGTTAGCTGCAGTGCGACAGTCTCCAGTATGAGTGAAATGTTAACATTGTTCAATTCCTTCGTTGCATATGAGATGCCCACTGTTTTGTTTTCACATGCAGTGTGAATAAAAAGTGCCTCCAATGACAGATCAAAGTGTGAAAAGCACAAAGAAGTATTGTCCTTACCACCTCTGAACCAATTTTAGCATTATGAGTTTATAGGATGAACGAAGCCATGGAGAACTGAATGTAAAAGGAGACAAAGGCATAAAGAACACATTCAGCATGTGACAAAATGCGCCACTCTCAGAACCATGAACAGATTATGAATATAAGTGAATCACTACATCATCTCAGAGTCAGGTTGTGAATTTGCATGCTTTTGACCATTATTAGCCAGCCAACAGCCAAAGGTAGTTCCGGTTTCTCTGCTATAGCATAAAATAATAAGCTAGCAATGCATTAATGTGATGATCATACAATGTTCCCATACCACCATAATAGAGAACCTCGCACTGCTCACTAAGACCCTGCAAGAAATACTCACTGTGGTTCCATAAGCAATAACAACATTAAATCTAGTGATGAGAGGCATGACACTGAACATTTTTGATCATTGGTTTAACAGCAGCGTTGTGATTTAGATTAAGAATAAAACTCAAATGCTTTTAGTGATTGGTAAGCCTAGTATTGGAGTTTCAAAATAAAAACAAAAGCAGAAGTAAAATCTGCTCCACTACCACTTTGGCCATAGTGATTATCCTTAGTCTTCATTATTTTGTAGCTGCACAATATAATCCACAGAATGGAACCAACTAGTTGAGCATTGTTTGACATTACAAAGAGTCAATCACACAAAACTCACATGGTGAAAGTCAGTAAATCTGACTCAGTGGGGTTCTGTGATTGTGTGAAGTGAAGAAGTAATCTTAAAGGGCTGAGTCGCTCCGAGTGAGAGAGAATTTTCAACCTTTGTCTATGTTAACTTCTTCACTAACAGATTAGAAAAAAATCAAAAATTAAATGTGTTCTAACAAATGTTGTCCCATTGACTTTTTTCTGCCTCTCCTTAGTAGTATGTTAATCAGCCTGTTTTCTTTTACTAGAAAACTTAGACAACATTGTTATCACAAATACCTCATGCATCACTGCAGATCGACATAATGTAGTTTTCATTGTTTAGTGATCTATAACAAAAACTGTTATAGATACTGTAGAATATATAACTTTTTTCACAATTCCAATCCTTGCACCATCTTTAGGTCTGTTGTACGCATTTGTTGTGTTTATGAGACTGATGCACCTGTTGGACCACTGTGCCACCTAGTACTATGTTTATTTGTTGCATTTGTAATAAATATTAAATATTTTGAAGAAATAGTTTGTTCATTTAAGCATATTGGTTGAAAATGTATTTACCTATTTTTTCCCAATTAAAAAATATCATTTTTACTCACTACAATATTTTTAGAGATAATAAATAATACACATTTTCCCTTGTGGAAAAGACAAATATGTGAACATGTTTTTTTTTAAATGTAAACAATCATATTAAACATAATAGAAGCACAGTATGTTAGGGAATCTACAATACAGAAAATAAATAACAAAAATGAATGCACCCATTCTAAGAGGCCAAACACATGAGACAATGTCAACAACATAAAAAAGGGGAAATAGTCATACTTGGGAAACCAGTTGAGGCTCAGGTGTTCTGTCTTTGAGAAGAGGATTGTGTCATAAAGATCGTACAGCGGTTTCCATGGCAGCTCAAGATCCTCTCTTGACAGCAGTTCCTTTTTCCTGTTTGTTAAATAGACAGAGAGTGAAATTGAAGGCTGAATACGTACAGCTTTATGCAAAATATTACCTCTGTTTAATGATAGAATTGGCTGTTTACTCTTACTTGAGGAGGTTGATTAGCAGCCGAGCAAGGCCCTGCATCATGCTGATCTCCAGTTCGGGGATGGTCACTAGCTCAAATAGTAACTTGATGAACAGCACATGATCATCTTTGCTAAACTTTCGACCATACAGCCTCATGTACCTAAAATGTACAGATTTAGGGGTTTAGTACATACATGATAATGTAAACAAATACACTAGTGGTAGCAAATTGAACACCACTTGATATATAAATGTTGTTTCATGTACAGAAAAAGCAATACCATTACAAATGAGGCCTTGCATAATGTAAGAGGGAGCTCATGGTCTTGTTTACCCCCAAAATATGTGCCTTTATCGTTGAACAGTATCTGGGTCAGCTGATTGTAAACTTCCCATCTCTCTGAGCCGGCAGTGACTCACTGTTAGACAGAACAGTGCACCAGCATTGAACAGTAAAAGTGATTAAAGATTGAAGCGCAGCAACCCAGCACATCAGAATTACACAGTACTCTGTAGAACGCACTCTCATCACGCTGACAATGTTTTCGTGCAATATGAGTGACACACAACCGATCACCTCTGTGTTGCTCAACATGAGCAATAATGTCAATGACCTTTTACTAGCCTGCGATACCGGAGTCAGGTTGTGTTTGTGATACACTGTTCTTATGAAACCTCAACCTGTCCCAAATCAGGGCACTAACGGCTACTTAATTTCAATTTACCAAAGAAAAAAAATCATTGGACATGGTAGACTATGGGAAGATCAGGGAAGGTTTTCTAAGCCAGCCAGTGTCTGGGGAAAGAACCAAGTGTCATCACCGGCACATTTAGTGTTGACTAACATGACATATAAATAAACAAAGACATATTTGTCTGCTATAAACCGTTATCGTTAAGATGGTGGTATATGAGAGATTATTGTTACTTACGTAGAAAGTTTCCTTGTCCAGAAAAGCACCCCGGGCCATATTTCTCTGAGCTGAACTGCTCGGCTCAAATTCGATTTAATTTTACGCAAAAGCTCATTGGATTCGGCATCTAGTCTGTCCGCGTACGGCAGGAGCTTGTTGTAAACAATGTCTTTTTGAGGAACAAAACCCAACGTGTCAGACTGTGACTGTTTCATGTTACGAATGCCAACTGACGAGCAGATAATCCAGACAACTGTCTTTTTCTTTTTTAAAGTGCTAATATTTCGGCCTTAAAGACCACGATTGACTCTCTTGTTGCTTTTTATTTTTCCAGGTTGCTGTGCCTACTTACAGTCACATTTACCGAATAAGACTCACAAGTTAGTGTCACGCTAGTTAGCAACCTAGCCTAAGTTGAGTCAGCTTCTTTTAGCGGAAAGCGAAAACATTATTGTTTTCATTGTGAGCGGACTTTAACGCGGACGAACAGAGCGTTGTCACCGCCCACTCTTTTCGTTTAACGGTGCCCGGAAAACCTGACAACCCGGCGCTAACGGTTTATAGCTAAAGTTAGCTCTCTACTACAAAATTCACAGGTAGATCCCAAGGACGATCGACGTCGACTGCTGCCGCCAACTACTGTACAGACTACACCCAGCTACCAGCTACACAACAAACACGTCACATCCGCCGGCTGTTGAGAAGACTACATTTCCCAAAACCCCTCACGTCATTTTTTTAAGACATATATACAGTACACACAATGTCCACTACTGAGTCAACAGCAAATATTTCTCAAGTTACTTATTTGCTCTACATTTAGTTTATTTTGACCCTGCATGCTTTCCTCCATTACCTGTCACGTCAAAATAGTGGCATACAAACGACATAGCATCTCAAAAGAAAAGAAATGTCTTAAAATAATAAAATACTGTACCAGAATAATAATTACATTTTAGAAATAAATAATTAGTTCAAATTATAACATATCACCTTTCATTTCAAAACAAATTATTGTCATAATAATGTTATAATAAAAAAGGGCTTACAGCAATTAAAATAAGGACGAATTATTATAAGCAACGGAATAATTAGAAAGGAATAGAGTCATTATAACTGCAACCGCTGTAAAAGCACACCATCTCGCGGTCAAATATCCAACTACACTAAATAAGAACAAAAAGAAGTGAGGTTCCACTTCTTTTAAAATATCCAAGCACATACGCAGTCAGATGCAACTTCGTCTACCGATCACCTTTAATGTACCGCTCAATTCACGATTAATGACAAAACCTCTATAAGCATCACTGTAATTTATAGTTTATGATATGACGCATATCCACCGAAGCTGTGTATATGTAACTTTTATTCTTGTGTTACATGTGGTCGTCATAGACAATCTATGGCAACAGAAAATGACGGTTTCCTGGCAACGAGAAAACACACTACCACACGAGCATCCCAGGCAAAATACAACTTTAATTACATTATTTTTTTAAGTAACTTTTTTTACTGTTTGTGGTTAAGAGCAAACAATGATAATAGAGAAGCTAAATGTACATTGTGACAGACTGCTGTCACATCATCAGCTTGCTTGCTGTCGCAATTATTGCGGAATACCGATGCGGGGCAAAGAAGTGTTTGTTTACAATAACGACCCCAAGGGCCTGGAGGTTTGTAGCATAGTAACTTTCGAGAACCATTTATAAATAAACATTTTACTTGTTTATGTGCACATTAGACATGCATTTATAATATTAAATGTGAGTCGTCGAAAGTAAAGTAAGACAATAGATCAAACAGCAACAGTTAGCTCTGCTGTGGCGGGTGTCATTATTAATATGAAGGTATGTTGGAAGTATGGAAGAGGTTGTTAAAAACACGATGTGGGGTGTAGTGGTGAAGTATGTAGCACGTGGTGCAGGACATGAATAAGGACGTAGGGATAAGGAGTTATTTTCAGAGATGAGAGACAGGAGTCTCCTTGGACAAATATGTCTAAGGATGAGACCCGGTGGGTAGAAGAAGCCTGGGAAGATACAGGCCAGTAAGCAGAAAAGAGAAGGAGGAGAAATGATGAAAGGCTTGGAAAGGGACAGGGAAGACTAAGAAACTAGCTGCTCTGGTGATCCCTGAAGCAATGGAAAGAAGATGACGGCATTCCAAATCTTTGTCCACAGCCCACACTGTTAACTGGGCACCATGGAGAGATCAGCTGCATGACCTTTGGGAAAAAAAGTAGACCTCTGCTTCTGTGCTCTGCCTCTGCTGATTATATTATTGTCTGGAATATTGAATATTGCCAGAAAAGACTGAGAGACGGTAAGAAAATAATTTGCATGAATTTACCCCTTCAAAAATGCAAGCATTACAGCTACTACTGTGATCCAAAAATCAACATTTCTTTGATAATGATAGTTTTTATAAATTTTCGAGTCAAATAGAGACAAAATCGCCCTCTAGTGTTATCTTTAATTACCTGTGTCCATGTGGTTTTTTTGTTTAAAAATGGAAACTCGTTTTCAAATACTTTTTGCAGGTAAAGTTGCAGTTGGAACAGTGATTGGTACTTCAGTGGGTGATGTTGTCCATTTGTCTTTCTGTTTCACTGATGAGACAGTGGCTGCATGTTCGGGAGCCACTGTTTATATTCTCTGTGTGATGGTACTATACACACACACACATTTATATTTATATATATATACTATATATATTAAAAATATCACCATAAAAATTAATTCAAATTCAAAACTCTGTTGAATATACAATGTTTTTCTTGTATTAACAGTTTTATTATTTATTATTGTTTTAGAAACAGGAAGTTATTCATACCTTGACAGGGCATCTGGGACCTTTGATATCAGCTGAGTTTTGTCCTTGGAATAAAAACCTTCTTGTCACCACATCAGAGGACCGCACCTTTAAGGTGATTAACAAACAATAAATAAACTCCCATGTTTGAGCCATTAATAATAATTAATATTGATTTTCATACTGTTCATTAACAATGCAGTTCCTTATCTGTCCTACAGGTTTGGGATTTAAAAACGGGAGTTGTGTGGTACCAGTCCTTTGTGCTTTCCGGTACATTATTATTATTATTATTATTATTATTATTATTATTAAAGTTACAATTTAATTACATTATGTATGCATTTCATTTTTTTTAAATCAAATGATGAATAATCTTATTGCTGTCACTAAGCTCTTATTAAATTAATGATCCTAATCGCTGTCCACTTACCTTTAACAAATTCTGTTGCTCTTAAGCCTCTCTACTGCTCTGTACTCTGTTCTTGGAGGGAACTCAGAGCCTTATTGCTGGTTCAGCGGATGGCCAAGTTAGTGATACACACACACACGGACACAGACACACATACACATGCAAAGACCATGGTATAGATTAGAGAAAAGAAGAAAAGCCATAATATAACACACTCACATTTGTTGGATTCAGGTCTGGTGCTTTTCTGTTCATGATGAGCATAAGTGTCGACTAGTGACCAAAATGGACCTTCAAAAAATGGAAAAAAGACACAGAATGCTCCAAGACACTATAAGCCATCAAGCAGGTGATACTTACAAAAGCTGTAGTTGTTGTAAAGGACTCTGTAACATTCACACTTTGTCCATGAACCCGAAAAACAAGTTTTGACAGAGTTATTATTGTACACTGTGCATTGCTGTCCTGTAGAGACAACTGATCGGTCATCTGAAGTGACCACTGCAAAACCAGTTCTCACAATGGCACCGTGGCCCTTGTTTACTATCCACAGTGATGAGCAGCAGATGAAGTAAGTTTAAGTGAAATTAATTAACTTAACGTGAACCTCACGTTAAGTCAAACCACATTAAGCCAGATTCTACACACTCTAAATCAATTATTTAACCTATAACTTTTTACTTTTTACACTAGTTTCCAGTGTTAATGTTAGAATTTCGGTGAACTGTAGCATCAAACCCCAAGATAATGGAACCGACTTGTAAATTGCCAAGGAATATGTAACAAAATAAACAATTATCAATATCACAAAAATGCTGGGGGAAAAAATCTGAGCCAAGATGTCATGTTATGAGTAGCTGATTACTGCAAAGGTCACAGAAAACTCTACAGGTTTCAGCCTGTGAAAACATTTCTGTCATGACGGGACAGAGAGACAGACAGAGAAATACAGATTTATAAAAATATCATTTTGGTTTGGATTTTTTTTTATCTGATCTTCAAATAAACTTTACCAAAGAAGGTACTTTGCAAGAAAATATGCAGAACTGGTTTGAAACAATCAGTCAGTAGGTATTTTGTTTGGTTTACATTATCAGGTGTTTGTGGAAGCTTAGGTTCTCTGTTTCCTATTATCATGTAAAACATTACTCTCCAAGGTTGTTTTCCTTGTAACACGGCTTTCTCATGTGTTGTTGTGTGTTTGGCCCTGCAGCGACACCAGCTGGTTATGTATTGGAAGCTCTGATGGTCTTTACGTGGTGGATCTGGATGTTTCAGAGCTCATCACAGTGCTGTATTTTAAAGGTATGGTTATCTGCAGAAAGTGATGCAAATTAGAACATTATTTAGGAAAGAAAATCAGTCCTTTTTTTAATCCGTTGTCAACCTTTAAACATGAACATCTGACTCATTTGTTTGTCCCGCAGTGTTTCTGTAAATGTCACCATCAACAAAACTAAACTCAAAAGTTCAACCTTATCTACTGCATCATAACATTGCCTGATGTACAAATAAACAGGAAATCAAATAAAGTCACAGTGATTCATTCTTCTAGATTACACAGACCTGAGCGTCACCATGGCCGGGTCGTGTTCAGTGGCTCCAGGATCGGAAAACTCTGTGAGTATTCCTAAAAATAAGATTAAAATAAATATGAAAAACACATTGAATGATATCATCTAATGGACTGGCTTCCGTCTTGTTGTAAACAATCAAAGGAGCATTTGGGGAAGATTATACATGCATGGTTGTTTTTTTATTTTCCAGTGTTGTCTGGTTACAATAGTTAAATCAGGGGGAAAAAAAACAATCAACTGTTAAGTTTTCCCTATGAAATCTATATGCTTTTTGGGTCCTTATATCCCATACACTAATGTGGAAGTTTATTTGACATGATTTTATATTTCTGAAAGAACTCCTGGGTTTGATTGGGCTTGTTTTGTCAGTTTCTTGACATTTTACAACATTTCTTTATGCTTTCACAGTAAAGCAGCTGTGTGTTACGAAATCACAAATGAAAGAACTGAGTAGTTTCTTTACCCACAGATGTTGCTTTTAGTGACCTCCATGTTCACGTCAAGTGTAGCACTGTTGGAGTTGGATCTCTGTGACATTGGGAGGAAGGCGTCTGGTGGTGAAGTCTTCTCAGTGTTCCCCAGGTAAACATTTTGTACTTTATGTACACACATTGATTACACTGACAAACCTCTGACTTCGTAACCGATGCCTATGCAGAAAATGTGGGTGTCACTCGCTATGTTACTCAACTTGGAATTACTAGCAAGTAGACAGTACATTATGATAATGCAATGCAGTATAATATATGTACTATAAACAGTCAAAACTGAATTAAACCTGTTACCTAACCATTTCTGTCCTGCTCTGCCATTATAATGCTTTAATTTATTTGACTTTTTCATATTTGGCTGAGCTGTTTTAATCTGCCTCAGTATTAGAGACGTCTGTACTGATGTTGCTGCTAATCCGGAAAAGTTCTACGTATTAGTCTTACAATAGCATCGTTATGTGAATGCCAAAAGATTGTCCTTTGGGGCAGGAAACAAATCCATGAAAGTAATACGTGATGCTTAATACATGGTGACTCAGCAAAAAAACACCAGCAGCAGCATGGGCTTGGGCACAGCAAAAAAAGTTTGCGAACCAATCATGTGCACTATGTCAGTTTGAAGGAAAAGTTGGTTTTTCCCTGACCTCCTTTTTTCACTCTGAAGTTTCCGCATTAACTGGACCTATTATAGCTGTTCTTATACCATCTGGCTTTTCACCAGGCAGCAATATCATGGTAACAAGAATTAAAAAAGACTAATAATCCATAACGGTGAAAAAATGTTATTTCCAGTAACCCTCTGCCTCATTTTCCCCCTCTCTTGTTTTCAGTTCCCCTCCACTCCCTGGATCTCCCCTCAATGCTCAGTTAAAGAAGAAGAAGGAAACCATTGTTCCTAAAAAGAAAGGTCAGCATCTTCGTCTCATCCCAGCACTGGCTTGTTCACGTCTAACGGACACTCATGTACATACACCTAACCAGGGAGGATTTGAAAATTTTAAATTTCTCCTGCTCCTCACACACAGGCTCTACTTATGAACACTGTTTTTCAGCAGTTTGCTTGACTTTAATCAGTAAGATTAATCATAATTTAAATGTAATGTATAAAAATTGAAAAATATCTGTACACCTCCAACTTTACATTCATTCATAAGCCTGGCTTGGGTGACTATTTTTCTTCAGGCCTCTTACGTTATTTCAAGCAGCCAAATATGACCACAGATGTTGAAATAAACACAGCGTGAATCATACAGAAGCTTATTGTCACCATAGCTATTTGATGCTCCATTGGAGACCTATTATGCCACTTTGTTGAGTTTAATTGGAAAAACGTCAATACAATTAAACTTTATTTACCATGACACAAAAAGTAGCTTATAATAAAACCTCATATAATGAGTGCTGTTAAAAGGAGCAGCCAGCAGACAGGGGATTTCATGCAGGGATGACTCGGCATGGGAATTTGTCAGAAACTCACGCTTTGCTCCAAATGGCCTCTTGCGTAAAGTCAGCATAAATAATGAGATT